CATCCTGCTCATGACGAAGCTCCCGGCCGCGAAAGATCAGGCGAATATCCTCCCCACGAGAGGGGGAAGGGGGGGAGGTGGATAACAACGAGCCCGGGGCCGATGCGGCCGCCCGATGCGCAGCCTCCAGCGTCAGACGTCGAAACGCCGCCACGGTGGTGTCCACCCCATCGGGTAAGGGAACCCGCAAGGAGTGCTCGAGGGAGGGAATAAAGACATTGCAGTACGGCTCCTCGGCTTCGGAAGAGCCCTCGGCCTTTGGGGTGTCTTTACCGGACATCGAAATACGAGACTTATCTATCGATATGCAACAGCCACAACACGAAAAAAAAAAGTGGAGCTTGACAGAACGAATAATGAGGGGAAAAAAATACAAAAATAAACACCAAAGATCAGATCCGATAAAGGAAAATGAGCGAGTTTTATTTTTTTCTGATTACATGTTTGAGACCTTTATTCTAGAGAGAATTCAAAAGGATAAAACATCTTTTTTAAAGAAATTAATATTGGGCATCGATAGAACACTATCCCTATTTGTAAGTCAAAAAAAAGACACTCAAATATCGACACATTAATTTTGTTGCTACGAACGAAATACACTAGATCATTGATTGAGAAAACTAAAAACACGGAAAAAAAATTAACGATTGAAAACTTCACTTGGGAAAATTTGTCTCGATAAAACACGAATGCATATGAGCATGAAAATTCACTATTTGCTAAAATTAAAAAAACGAATTTCCTCTTGTTCGCACAGACTAATCTCTATGTTTTTCCTTGATATTTCTTTTTTTTTACGAAAGAACCTAACAAAGCATACGTAAAAAAAGAAAAAGTAAATGCCTAAAATTTGCATGCATATAGATAAGGTTTGTATATAAATAGATTTATAAATAGTTATGGATCTGTTCGAATCGTCACCTCACTCATTTATTGACGAATTGAGTTCCCTTTTGGATGTTCTTCAGCAACGTTTCGGAGCCCTTCTTGAGAATCCCTTCTTCGTAGGCGTTCAGTTTCGGGAGCGGCAACACCCGCTCGACGCCGTCCTTCCCCAGCTCCACCATCGAGCTGAAGAAAGGCAACCCCGGGTAGGCCTCGGATTCCACAAAGGTGCTGATGCTGATGTTTTTCTCCCCGTTGAGGGCGCGCAGCACCGCGTTCGACCACTCCTCCGCGGCGTATGCCATCGACAGCGTCGCGGATCCCGCCCCGGCCTTCGCCTTGACGACCTCATCCCCGCCAAACTGAATCCGATGGGTGATCTCCTGGACCTGCACCTCGGAAAGGGGAAAAGGCGAGAGCACCGGGATGATCGTCTCCCCGCTATGCCCCCCAATGACCACCACCTCCACCCCGGAAGGATCGGCACGGAGGGCCTCCCCGAGAAACGTACGCGCCCGCACGGTATCCAACGTGGTGATGCCAAAAAGTCGCCGAGGATCGTACACGCGGGCCCGACGAAGCACCTCCGCGGCGATCGGAACGGTGCTGTTCACCGGATTCGTCACCACCCCGACGATCGCGCGTGGGGAGTGCTCCGCGATGAGCTGCACGAGATCCCGCACGATCCGCGCGTTGCTGTCGAAGAGGTCATCCCGCGACATCCCGGGCTTTCGCGGGACCCCTGCCGGGATCAACACGAGGTCCATATCTTTCAGGGTCGTCTTCATCTCCTCGGCGGTGTAGCCGAAGACCTTGCAAGGGGTGGCGATGTGGGAGAGATCCGCGGCGACGCCGAGGGAGCCGCGGATGTCATAGAGGTGGAGTTCCCCAACATATTTGCTTCGCTTCAACAGAAGGGAGAGCGGCTGCCCGATGCCACCCTCGGCACCGAGAATCGCAACTTTTTTTAAGGACATGGGAAAGGCTTGGGAAAGAAAAGGGGCTTTGGAAGTATTTTTTATTTATTGATTTCGATAAAGGTAAGCAAATCTTTTTGAGGCGAAATGAACTAAAAATAAGAATCAAAAGAAAGAACGCGGGGAAACTGAATAAACTGAACAGCACCTCGACATAAAAAGGCATTCCATTTTTTTTTTGGGGGGGGGGGAGTAAAAATACGATAATAGAAACACAAATTGAATCAGCGTACACTATTCAACCCATGAGCATCAGGGACAGAACTAGTCTGAAGAGGAAGGCAAGCCGATCCTGAAGCCCCTTCCACAAGGTGTTTCGGTTACCTCAAAAGCATCTTGTCAAAGTGCAGCACACCCCAACAGTTTCCACCACCCCTAGCATCACAAGTTGTGTTCAAAGACACCGAAAAAAATAAGGCCCACCCACTCTGTGTGCTAATAATCGATTCGGTCGCATCCTAAACTAAACAAATACGTTAGCTAAATACAGATTCTTCGCTTCATGACGAGAAGGAAAAAGTTGGCCACGCGGATTCAGTGAGCCCCTTTTAACTGTACTAAGCTCCACGTACCGGAGGTGTTGCCTTATCGGCTGCATATCAATCATCTCAATCGAGAAGCGCCTCACTCGGGATAACTTTTTTTTTGGGGGGGGGAGGGGGAGGGAAGGAGGGGCCTACACAACAGGAGTTCATTATCTCAGACGCCGCGCTAGCGGTATCCCAATATAACAAGCCCAAGCAAGTTTCTCAACGCGAGAAATGCGCGCGACACCAATTCAACAAGAAGGGTGATTGCTCCACAATTTCATGTAAGGTGTCAAGCCCCACGATGGTTTCTATGTTGACTTCCTAAAATTAGGTTCCAGATGTTTTTTTCATATAAAAAAAAAATCCGAGGGAAAAGTTCCAGCAAAGTGTGTTCTCACCTTCCTTGCAGCTCGACGGGGGCTGACATGTGCGTAAGATACGTTGAGAACCGTCACAAGACTATGCTGTCTGGACCACTTTCTGACAAATCACACTCTCGTATAGTGGTCGTTATCGACCCCCCGTGCTCCTCCATGGGAATTGGGAATATTTACTTTGAAGTAAAAATGAAATACAACAAAAATGGTGAGACGGAAAAAAATATATAGTACCCATGAGGGGAAAAAAAAGATGAGAATTGCTACTTGTTATGCGTATCACTAGTTCTTTTTATTTATGTTAAGAAGCGCATCACTGGAAATTGATAAGATAAATCTTACCAAGCAAATAAATGCAGAAAACTTATTATATTATTTAGCATAAAATATTGATGAATTTTACCAACAAAAGCGCACTAAAATAATCAAAAAAAACGTTTTCCTTGATATATTATTTTATATAATCTGGGACTCCCTAGTTTAATGACGCCAATTATTGCATGCCATAGCCAGCAGAGAAATACAAAAATATCATGTCTGCATGTCTCAGAATACATAGCACCCTAATTCATACCCCTATATACTGTCCATTATTTATTACACAGGCACATCTATCGCTAAATTATACAATGATTAAATTCATTGGAAATCCTATCCTTGGCTACATTGCATTTTTATTATGTACTTGTAGACCGAGTGAAGCCGCTATGGGATCTAATAGATCCACAATCGTCTTGTGAACTTCATCAACCGTGCGATCGGCATCCACGCGGGCGTAGACGCCACGCTCCTTGTAGAACTCCGCGAGGGCACTTGCTTCGTCTTTAAATAGTCGCAGACGCTTCTCAGCAACCTCACGGCGGTCGTCGGGCCGTTGAATTAACGGCTCGCCTGTGATATCATCCACGCCGGGCTGTTTAGGCGGTCTGAACTCCTCGTGGTAGCTTCGACCGCTTCCCGGGTGGATCCACCGTCCGCTCGTGCGCTTGAGAATAACTTCATCGGGAACGGTGAACTCTATGGCCTTGTCGATGCGCATGTCCGAATTCTCTACCATCTCGGCCTGTCGTATCGTCCGTGGGAAGCCGTCTAAGACGTAGCCGTTCCCACACTCCTCTCGTTTTGTGGCGTTCATAACAATGTCAAAGACGATTTCATCATCAACAAGCTTACCGGAGTCCATTGCGTTTTTGGCAAGAATTCCCTGCGGGGTTTTTCTCGCCACCGCATCGCGAAGCATATCGCCCGTGGCGAGGTACGATAATTCATAGCGTTCCCTAATCAGTGAACTTTGAGTCCCCTTCCCAGAGCCAGGAGCACCAATCAACACAATTCTCATACTGAAGCTTTGCTTGTGTGATGAATTGATAAAAGTGAAAACAAAAGAACCTACCTTGACGGTTAAAGCGATGTTTAAGGGTGCTGAAATATGAAAGATGAATGAATGACATCAAACTCACCATGATAAAGGGGGAATAATACTCACATGTTATCCGCTGTATGGTACAAATCTTACTTTTTCTGCTCCCCTATTCAGGTGATTGCATCGCAATTTAGGGAAAAGCGTCTAAAAAAGGGAAAGACAGTAATGAGTTCAGGTCTCTAGACCTTCTAATCGTGAGTGGCATTCCGCTCAAATTGTTTCAATGTCTCGGTTCCATACCGTTTAACAAGCTCAACAACGGGGAGTGATGGAAAAAGCTCACCTCGTATCTCGAGAAGACGCTGATACTTTGGATACCCTGGCAGATGGGAAAGATAGTTTTGTACGTTCTCAGAGTTTGGCCGTGACCACGACACAAAGAAGCAGCGTTGATAGCAGTCATTCGAGTAGCAGCGCACTTTTATAGAACCATAGGTTAAGTATAACTGATTGTAAGTACGCCTATGTTCTCGATTAAGCTTTAGACAGTACTTAGACTGCTTTTGGAAAACGTAATAAGCCCGAATCGAGTCTTCGTATTGTGCAGTAATGCGATCCGCGGTAATCCGGCTCGGCCGAATGTCCGAGGGAAAAAGGGTAATCGAGGCATCAGGGGCATTTTTAGCTTTATCTTCTAAAAGGGATGGCGTCCATCGATTGTCATTGTAGTAAGGTGAGAGACAGGCAAAGACCTCTGCCAGCAAGGCCTTTGTGCGAGGGCATTGGACCATGATACGCGAGGAATGCGGTCGTGGTGGTATAGGAATGGAAAAGGGGCTTTCCTTCGCGGTCAGTTTGCCCTTCGGAGCTTCCTTGTTATCCTCGGAAGGGGCATTAAGAAGATGAAGAGGGGCACCCTCCAAATCTGGGTTATCTCGCTGAATGCAGGCAAGATCTATAACTGTTGCAGCAAACCTTGTTTGTTGCCTATTTTGTGTGTGTGCATCGGTGCCAGCACACGAATCCATCCGCGGTGCAAGAGGCTCCAGTAACTCCTTCAGTCTGACATGCGACAGCTCGGTCGTGCCGGGAATAATAGGAAGAAGAAATCGAAACAAAAACAAAAGCTTCCTCACAAGGGTGTGCTGTTTTTGGAAAATAGACGGATCACAGGAAAGCTCAATGGTGTTCAAGACGGACTTAGCGGCAGCTCCAACCTCAACCGCTGCGCGGTTAAAGGCACCAACCCCCAGCTGCTCGCGGAGCTGGCTGATCATCAAATCATCTCCTGCGGCGTTCACCACTGTGAAAGGACCGTTAGGTGATGAAAGAGGGGACTTGACATTGTACGGCAACCTAAAGGCACGCCAGCGCGAGTAAACACTAAAGTCCACGCAGCGACGAACGAGCTGAAGAACGCCAATATCAACCTGGAAACCTTCTACCGTCAAATTCGTTGAATTCTGGCTTTTTCCCTCTTCAATAACTTTGTCTAACGTTCTCTGGAGTGAGCCCATGAATTTATGCAACTCCTTGATATTAGCCAACGTCTGTTGGCGATGCAGACGGAAATGAACGTGGAAACTCAACTTAATTTTTAACAAGCAGCCCCTTTCTGTGGAACTCTCAGGCGATTTCCGCACTACTTGCACACTGCTGCTTAGTACCAAGCACTGAGCGACTTCAGTGTGCAAACGCGCTTCGATGTAGGTTTTTAAAAAATTTACAATTTCAAACAACGCACCCTCCACGTGGGTGTTAGAAAAAGCATGAGTTCCATCAGGGCCACCCTCCATCTGACTCCACCAAGGGTAGGACGCAAGAAATGTAGCACTTTCCGTGGATGTGTAAGACCAATCAATGTCAAAGAAAGGATCCACAGCAGCGTCTTCGTCCACGAGCACATATAGGTTTCGATTGTGCAAACAAGGTATTGAAGAAGCAAACGAAACTAGATCACTACTCGAGAGCTCCAAGCGTTCTCTATGCGCTGCGACCGCGTTAGCGTCGTTTGAACTCTCGCCTAGACGCCCACCATCCGAAGTACGTTTGTTGGCAACGTGTGCTAAAATGTCTTTGGTATACCGTGAAAAAATGTTGAACAGCTTGCTTTCGTTCCCATGGGTGCGATCAATGGCGACCACGACCTGATACTGATTGGTCTGATATCCACCCGATGTTATCGCCTCGAGCCGGGAACCGTAAAAGGAGCTCTGAAGAGAGAAAGGATCGGGAGCTCGGGGGAGGGTGCTGCGTAACGCCGGCGACGCCGCTTCGGAGCGTTGAGGCTGACCATTCAAGTCGGCGTAGCTGCAGCCCCAGTACTGCTCCGACGGAACCTCCACCGCCCTCCACACCTCTTCCAGAACCTGATACGTACTCGCGTCCACCACCCCAAAAAGCTTTTCGAAGGATTCGACGCCCCTTTTAACACACACAACACGAGCACGTGGGGAAGTTACGGCAAAAATAGGGTTAATAGACGTGCATGTAAGACTGCCTTGATCGATTTCACCGCTGCTTTCATGGTCATCTTCTGTGCTCTCGGTGTCGGGCTGGGACCGAGAACGAATCGCCGTTGGGTCTAGTGCTTCCTCGGTACGGGGAACTTTGCCGCCCAGCATATCTTCCTCTCCTACCTTAAGTGAAAGGAGGGAGTGATCAAAAAGAGGGAGAAAACGCATCACAAGAAACAGCACACTGAAGCATCTCCACAGGTAAAGATCGGAGAAGGGGGTGAAGGGAATCCATTTCATTATACGCAAAGTGTATTTCTTTCATATCTTTCACAATCGTTGTTGCGTTGTCAAAGAATCCCTCCATCATCATCGGGGTTAAAATGTAGAAGAAAGAGGGTTACCTCGACTAAAAAACGCAGATGGGTTTTTAATCCAAATGAACAATAATATGTATACCACTGATAATGGAAAACATTAGCTAAAAGTTGAAAGCAAATGCAGAAACAGTTTAAAGAAAAGGAAAGATAATCAAGGCAAAGGGAGTACTACGCCACTTAAATGCAGTTAACTCCTCCAAAGGGAGCACAGGATATAGTTAGATACGTCAAAACACAATAAGTAAGATTGGTCGGATATTTCGCTACACTGAGGTAATACGATCATGATTTCATGATATTAAGGCAATCAATATAGCAGTGCTGTATTTGCCCTAAAGGTCAATCGAAGTTGTCGTAACACCTGTATGCATCACTAGCGCACCCTGGAAGGGCACTTGCGCGCATGAAATGTCTAGCATTCCTCACCACTCCAACGATGCGCATTCATCGAGAAATGTCTGCAGAAATGAATAAAAATGCAAGATTTATAATGAACCACACCCTGATACAATTAAATGACCCTTGACTGCATTGACGAAAGGATACAAGACAACAGGATCAGCCAGCGTCTCGGTGTCCATAGGCACTCACACGGTTTTTTCACTACAATCTCTATCTTGCTCGGTTTACCTTGATGCAGGCCATGAGTGTTGTTCTTAAAGCGTTCATCGACTCCGCCCTCCCATCATCAACGCAACCACAATATACTTACCCTCCCAATAAAAAAAAAGTAGTAGGTCCCTCTTCTGGTCATTATAACTTGCATAAAGCCCTAAAAGGTGTCGATAGCCCCGTTCTCTAGAATTGGTATTTCATCCAGTACCGATGAATTCCCCGAGGAAATCAGAGTAATATGTTGCAAGGGCATGCGCATCAATCCTGCCTCGGAAAGCATGCTGCTGTAAATCGCCTGAGAAAGACAGAAAACAGTAAACATTGCAAAGGGAAAACAGTTCGTTTTATCAAAATAAACAAAGGATCGATATATCCGAATTAGTGGCCAAGCCTGAAATCTAAGGCCAGAAAGAGCGCACTGTGTTGAAGGTGATACTGAAAAGGGTGTTGTTTTCTTGAATTAGATACATATCTACCTCCTGGAAATTAGAGTATCTGAGTAAAGGTTACAGTGTGCGCCACTATTGCAATGCACACGAAGACTAGATACTTTATAATTTATTTGTGAAATTGAAAGGAATTAGAGAAGGGTGCATAAAAACAGTGGCACCGAAAAGGGCTATTTGTTCAGAATGTGTATTTTTAATTGCATCAAAAAGAAGAAGAAATTTCAGTTTGGTTACGATGATTGTTTATAAAGACGTAAATTCGATTTTAAAAAAGAAGTTGCATATTATACCTATTGAAAACAATAATGATGACGAAAACATGGACCGTAAATTTAACAATAATGATTAGTTTCCAAAGCGAATTCATATGGAATTAATAGTATTTATGTGTGTATATATAGCGATACAAAAATTAACGACACAATATAGAGAGACGCCTTTTAACCCGCGTAGATGCAGCGAGTCATATTTCGAGATTAACGTTTGCTCAAAAAGAATAGAATCAGTAAAAGAGCAACTTTGGCAAGGCATAGTCTGAAATTCGGAAAAGAAAAGTCTATTTTATACGCTTACGGTCCTCACCTTAGAACGATAATCGTATTGCGACGTGATGTATTTGACAGCCCATAGTTATTTTCACTATTGCCATTAAAGTTTATTCTCGGATAAAGGGTAGGAACAGTGCTTTGCATATTTAAAACCGTTACGGAATATCAACTCATCAGCCTCCTTTGGTCCACGCGTGCCAGCCACGTACGGAATCACATCCACGGCACCTTGATCTATCTGCTGAAGAAGGGGAGTAAATATGCGCCATGCGGCATCCAATTCATCCTTTCGCACAAAGTTCGTCGAGTTCCCATGTATAGCATCATTAATGAGGCTTTCATAAGCATCCGGAAAGCGGACATCATAGCGAGAGCGATACGTGAGGGCAAGCTCCGTCTGATGCGTGTCGGTAAGTTTACCTAAAACACCGGGGTTTTTCATGGTAAGATTCAGGTAGATCGCCTCAGATGGTTGGGCGCAAATCACCAGCTCATCCCGCTTCGCTGCGTCCTGGTATGGGTGTATCTCGTCCTTAAACTGGATGATGATATTAACGCCCTTATCCTCCAGCGCTTTTCCAGCTTTGAGGATAAACGGCACACCATTCCAACGGTCGTTATTAATATGTAGAACCATACAGGCAAAGGTCGGGCATCTGCTGTTCTCGGGTACACCTGGATGTGCTCGATAGTCTGGGATCGACCCGTCCTTGGACGCCGTATACTGGCCAAGAACACAATCCTCTTTTCTTACAGGTGCAATACAACGTAGCGCAAACACCTTTTCGTCGCGAATGCGCTCAGTATCAAGTGTGCGTGGCTTCTCCATGGAAATCAAGGCAAGCATCTGGGTAAGGTGATTTTGAATCACATCCCGTATAATTCCATAACTGTCGAAATATCCCGCTCTCCCCTCCACCCCGATAGTTTCCTTGAACGTGATTCGTACACACGCGACGTTACTGGAGTTCCAGGTGGAACTGAAAATACGGTTGGCAAACCGCGTTGTCAAAATATTCTGAACTATCTCCTTTCCAAGGTAGTGGTCAATGCGAAAAATTTGTGATTCGTCGAAAAGTGTCTCCAGGTCGTGCGAAAGCTGTGAGGATGACTCCGTATCATGCCCAAAAGGCTTCTCGATAACAACGCGTACCCAGCCTCCCTTTCGCGGCATAGCAGCCCGCCGAATTCCATTGCACGTACACACGAACACTGAGGGTGGAAGGGCAAGGTAGAAAAGTCGGTTTCCATTCTTTTCAGTGCCGGAGAATTGATCCTCCAACCTGATGAGATGTTCATCCAACCTCTTGAAGTCAACGATATTATCGTAAGAACCAGAGATATAGCTCAGACGACGAAAAAAACTATCTAAATGACACCGATGCTTCTCTAAGCGATCAAAGTATTTCGCTAATGTTTCATTTTTCCACTTCTCGATGTCTTGAATTTTAGTGCGGGCGTAACCAACAATATTGATTTCAGGAGGAAGTAGACCATCACAATAGAGGTCAAAAAGGGCGGGAAACGTTTTCTTCTTGGCTAAATCACCGCTTGCACCAAAAATAATAATGGATAGTGGGCTCTCCATTATTTTGCCAGAGATCTTCAGGATGATATCCTTACATTCCCCTCTGAGAGATCTACTTGCTGCCATCTGCTGTGCTGAAGTATTGATAAAGTTGCATATGTCCTTTGGCCTGTGCTGTAATATCTTACTGCGTATTGTATCAAGAATAAGATTTACTTCTTCGATGTACTCATTTCCCTCATGCGCAGTTGAATTTGGCTGCAACGCGTAGTCTTTCCCAGCAGACATTTTTCTTAAAAAATCGATAAATAAAATAAAATACTAATGCTCAAATCGCAAAGGGAATTCAGAAAATCCACTTTGTTAGAACCACTAAGGTAGGCCTAGTCAAGGATAAAGGAAAAAGGAATTACAAAATTGAAAATGTCATTCGAAAAACATATCTATGTATTTTATTTTACACCAAATCAGGAGGTTGTGTAAGGTAGGGTTCATGTATTTTGATTGAAGCACGAGTAGCAAGTAGTAGTGCAATATCGTCCTTGGGAGGAGACACAGGGCATCACATAAAGAGCGTAAGATATGATTTGAAACAATCAGAGATAGAAATACTCAGGCAAAAACTAAAATATTTTACCACATTGCATAACGACGCTTGTACACATTTTAGTTTGTTGCATAATAGCATACATCGGGACTTGATCAATAAAATATGGAAATGCATCACATAAATCATATTTTATCCACATTTTATTTAAACTAAACAACGGAGCTAATATTTTTTGCATCGCGTTGACATAGATAAGATGTTTACGTTTAGTGTAGAAAGAAAAAGCGAACACAATTAGAAGGCGTAGAAATAATAGCAGAAATATGTATCACGCTAAAAAAGCGACCCACACCATTCGTGAGGAGCTTTTTCCCTGGGATTACAGTCGGAGTTCAATGAAAGGTTTCAAGAAGAAGCATGAGTTAATAAAAAACTCAACAATGGTGTGTGCAGAACTTCAATTCGACTATCATGATTTTTTTCGTGAATCACTAAAATGCTGAGGAAAGGTCCTTCGCGCAAGCTCCAAATTGAAGGTTCCATCGTTCAGCTCCCTACATTCATTTCACCCTTTCAGGAGTTTGACAAAGGCATTAGCAAATCTCTTCGAAGTGTGTGTCGCATAGGTAATTAACCCTAAACATTACTGAGAGGGCTAAGAACGCAGTAAGCATATGCGAGATTATCTATGGTGTATTCGTTCGAGTGCAAGCTCACTCATTTCTGTGACATTTGACCACAGTCTAGGAGAAAGGATCGATCAGTGGCTATCTGTAGCACAAATAGGAAGCTATCAGCTCTCCCCTCCTCCCCCCAACCAAGAAAGATACTGAAAAAAATGTATCTGGTGAACACCATCATGTCTGGCCTACCGATAATATGAAATCAACAGATGCAATTGACACATACTTATGGGTGAGCACGCCAAAGGGGTTGCGTGTTCCCTCAAAATCATTGTGCTCCCCTCAGCGGGCGCGCGCGAGGCTAGAATTCGTAAGGAACAGGCTAGAAAAATACTTCCCCGTGTACGACTGTAATGCTACTTTATACAAACTGAAAGAAATGCAGAGGTGCGCACATGACCCTTTGTAGCACCCCCTTCACCTAAGTCTCTCGAAATCTTTCTGACAAGGCCATCTCAGCACCTTCACCCTCACAGACAAGGTCACGATGTTGTCTGTTTCGAATAGAATTCTTCTCACGTCAGCAAAAGGCAAGTGTTATTAAGAGCAGAAACAGACAAGTTTCTCTAGTGGGAAAAGGGCTATATGAACGAGAAGAAATAAAACCCCAAATCACACGAATGCCAAAGCAGAACTAGTGAATAAAGTATATATGTATAAAAGCGAAATAAGGATTAGAAATGACACTGAATTAACGATAAATAGTAAGCACTGTCGTCACCTTCATTAGAAAGGAGATGTATCAGGTAAATTTTAATCTTTTCAAAAATAAATGAGGACTGACGCAAAGAATAATGGTTATGAGATCGTGCAAGCACAACGGGGTCGCACTATGAAAACAATAATAATGACTAGAAAAAAAAGAAAAAAATAGGGCTCTAATCAAATTCCAAGCCTATTTAACCACAGTTCTTTTCCAAAGCACTGAGAAGCAAATTAGTACGCAGTATCTGATATTGATTGACAACAGAACCCTGCTGAATATCTCTATTCCCTCGTTTATACAGCAACAGAGAGCAGCTGCCAGAAGTGTTTTAGACCCCTTTTTCTGATTGTAACCTTTTACGTGTTTCCTTGGTAGTGGGTTCGGGATTACCATCTGACTGTGATGTAAGGATTGCCGACAAAGCATTCGGCTTCAAGTTTACTTCTTGATCGACATTTTTTTGATTATTTGAATAAAGCGGTAAACTGCCATACGAAGAGACACCAACAGCTGTAGGTGGAAGGTTCGATGCCGCGCGATTATGTTTGAATGAAGGAGCTTTCCTAGATGTAAAATTATGGAGCAACGACGGTTGGGAGATTAAGCTGCTTTGCTCAGCGACTCCAGAAGAATCAAAGCTTTGCATACGCCCAGTGCGTCTGTCCTTGTACGTGCAGATGATTTTTAATACAAGATCTATTCCAATCGGGATGCCCTTTTGGACTTTGAAATGCTTCCCCCCAAGCCAAATCTCCTCCAGAGCTTGTAAAAGATGAGGGGGGCATGGATTAGGTCTTGGCGCAGCCTGGAATCCATTCAAGCTTGGCTTCAGCGGAAAAATAATAGCACAAGCAGCGTTATGTTCTCCCTGAGAGTAAACAGAAAGACTAAAGCCCTGCAGCAGGTAAGCCGCAAGTAATGCCATAGATCGAGCATCATTGTCAATTCCTTCGTGGGAACCAATTTTACCAACCTTTATAGAGTCACGCTTCGACATGGCTTTAATTGTAGCGGTAATTCCATCATCCTTGCCTTCCTCAACGAGCCACAAAGGATGAGCAAGAAGCTCTAAGGGTATAAGATTGCCTGTATGGAGTGCACAAGACGGGGAAACGTACGTTTGAAGCAAAGCATTCCTTTTGATGTAATTCAACAAGTTTACTGTTTGGACAAAAAAGTTTCCAAAGGCTCCTTCCATGTTGATAGGTGGCGAACTGTTTGAATCATTAGCGAGAGTACCTGTTTCAGCACCTTCCGCATTACCTGTAGAGTCATCGTTAGGCTTGACTTTCAAATGGTGCAAATTTCTAAAGTGTGCGAGTAATTTAAGGAAGATTATATTCGACGCTGGATCATTATCGGTGATGACTATGAGAGCAAATGATAGTCGCATGACATTAATTTGCTGCTGCCTTTCCACTGCATCCGCATTCATGTAATCGGTGACGAGCGAATCAGCCCGCTGAGGACGTAGGTTCGATAGGTGTTGGACGTAAGATTTGCCTTCGTTATTCCCAGCTTTTTGTGACGAAGGCCTCGACGTTCGCGTGGTAAAGGTATCCATTTTCAGCGCTTCTAAATTATTATCTGGCCTCGGCGAAACAACAATGACCTTTACGACCCTTGAAATATACATGGGTTGGTTGACGCGGTACGCATTCAGCAAGTCGCTGAAGCGTAATGGGGTCTTCGATTGCTTTTTCTTCGAATTACGTATTGTAGGAAGCCGAAAAGAAATTGGATACAAAAAAAACACACCAAAAATAACCATCGACGTAAACAGTTCCGCTGGAACAAAGCACATACCTACGCAAAGCAGTGCAACCTTAACAACGAAGTTGAGTTTATAATTGCGAATAATATGAAAAGCGAGCGCCAACTCATAGAAGCTATCTTCTTGGAGGCCCTGACAAAAAAACAGCTTTGCCCGAACCAGAGCATTAAGAAAAGTGTACCGACGACTATACAAGACGTTCCGAGAGGTCCCCTTCAAAAATGGCTCCGACACGAGAGACCCTGAGTTCAAATCAACAATGGGTATATGGTAAAGTTTTCCCATCGTTTTCATAAATATAATTAAATATGCAAAACATATGAGCACCGAGGCCACATTCAGCATATTCACATATATCGCAAAAATTAACAACGCAACCGTATTGAACGTCTCCAGTGGTTTTCGCCATAAAATGACGTCATGAAGACGAAGGAAAAGGATCGCCAGCGCAACGTATGGAATTAGAACAAATCGAATTGCCGGTGAATCCAGATGCAGATCATTTACCGCATGTTGACTTTCACAAGACGACGTGGATGAGTCCACACTTCGAGGTACTCCCGAATTTGTCTGAAACCCATCTGAGCTAGCAGTCCTGCGCGGTGCATCAAAGGGATTCAACAGACCATATACGGGGAAATTAGAGGCTCCCCTAAAGCGTTCACTGTAAGTGTTGCTACTGGCGGTATCGACATCATCATTCGGATAAGGTTTCAGTTTGGATTCATGATACAAAAGCAAGACAGGGTGTGACACATTACCAAAGGAATAGGATAAAACTTGAAAGGTTAAGGAGGCGCTTCCCCCAACGTCTTTGCCTAGGATCCTATTAGTAGCTCCCGCGCTCTGAGTAAGCTCCCCCACAGCTCTAGCAATACTCTGTTTGGGTTGTAACACCATACGCACACCGCTACGAATCATAATAAGCTCGCGAAGCGTAATTTTGGCGACCCCAATACATAAAGAATCTTTACTCGATAGTTTACTATTGGGCGATGTATCAATCTCAACCAGCGGAGTTTTCTTAGTGGAAGAAGTGATAGGCAATGGCGGAAGCTGGATGAGCCGAATCTTCACGACGCAGTCCGCTGTAGAGGAAGGAAAGGATGCTAAAATAGCTTCATTGGGAGAAACTTTGTACCGCATTATCCTAACTTCACTATCGCCCGAGTTCAATTTTTGTTTGTTTTCCCGTCCTATTCGTTCCGATTTCGCGACTAAATCAGTAGTTTCAAGTTTAACAATTCGTTCCAAAATAAATTGGACGCGTAGGCGAGGGTTAGAATGCATTGTCTGCTCCATGGCAAGCTTGCTTTTGCTCGAATATAAACGACTCGCAGTTTGTTCGAAATTAGATAATGATGGCGGCAGGGTTGCATTGCCCGTTTGATTAGCCGCTCTCTTGGCAATACGAGAGTAAGGCATATTTCTTTGTGCGCCTTCAGACTCTGTGCTAGCATTGCGAAGCACCAGATCCCTCACAGAATAAAATTGCTCCGCATTAAATGCACATATATTTGATATTTGACTAACTTTAAATTCTACATGCATCGTTGTGCTTCATATAAATATGCGTGAACTTGTATATATATATGGAGACAACTACTATTGCCCCTTGATTTGCATAAGAAAGAAGAACGAACAGCTAGGTTAATCAAGAAATAAGATTTTCGCAAAGGATGTTTAAAAAACATAACTTGCCTCGAAACTCACATAAAATCCATTGTAAGTACAATTATCATCAGTTACGTGAAGGAT